AGGGATATGAAATGGGCATGTATAAGAACTGTACCCACTTCACTAGTTAACCAGCTGTCTGATTAGTTTGCACACCATTCCTCTAGGCTAGACACCAAGGCAGATGGTAATGATGTGTAATTGAAGATAAACTCACTAGTCTAAACAAAGATGTTTACCTGCAATTGATGCTATTACCTTTCAACCATTTTCTGCAAACCTTCAACCAATAAGAATCTCATAGCAGAGAAAGAAAAACAGCACAAATAACCAAAACGTATTTGCAACATTCAAGAAGAATGTCTCTTTGTGTACAATAACAGTGAAATGGCATCATTGCTGCAGGATATACATATTGATTGATTCATTTTCCACAGCTTCTCAATCGTTTGAAAGTTATTTAAAGCCATAAAATATTTCTTTTAGAATGATTTCTTTTTCTTTTAATTTTTGTGATAATGCTCATTTCAGGATAAGTTTTACTAATTAACCCATAGCTGGGGGAGAAGATGTGGATTCATATCTTTCTCAAGAGTACCTACATATAAGTGAATAATACGAACTGAACTTGAATTGGAACTCAGCTCCCTGGTTAACAATTCTGAGCCATTATCCATTACACTACCCACACATCTAAATTTACAGCACCTGGTGTTCACAGGTAGTTACCCATCTAGTTACTGACTAGGCTTGATGTTGTTTAATGTCAGTGTTTCAACATGATATGACCTTAAGCCTAGACATCATGGTTATGCAACCGAAGCTTTGTAGAATAATTGTGGCATTTTGTCCATGACATTAACCAGGTATGCATTTAATGCTAACAAAAAGCCTGTTATCTCTTGAGAGAAGTTCATTAAATGTTTGTTTTTTTTTAGTAGGTAAATGTTTGCTTTGACTTTGAAGCTGATGTAAAATTATTTAGTTCTACAGTGATTAAAAAATTCCCAACATTAATGAGTAAACTCCACAGGTTAAACGTGCTTTTATAAAAAAAAGACCAAATCAATTTGTAACTTAGTTATGTAGTTTTAAGCAAAGTGGTTATATTGTGTCTTAGTGGCTTTATAACCTTACTTAAATCATATTAATCTGTCCTGACCTGGCATCTCAACCTTAGTCACTTTCCCACCACCATGACATGGCTTCCCTTTGTCTTTTTTACAAATATTTCCATAACAACTGTTCTGATGAGCTTTCCTCTTTGGTGCTTCTATTGCATGAATTTAAATGTACTACTTGATTGGCAACTAGGTCTCACCATCTTACTGTTGAACTAGCTAGATACAATCACCACTTCTATTCTAACAAGTTTCTTTTCTCACACTTCTCACCTGTTGAAATCCATTCCAATTTCTAGCTTTCTTGCCACCTGTAATCTTTAAAAAATTAAATATAACATCAGTCACCATCTTCTGTCTTCCTGAACTTTGTTCCTTTGTTTTTTCTTCATTTCCCCTCATTAAAGTCTTCTCATCATTTTATATTTGAAATTGCTAGATCTAACAATAAGTTCTATGCTAAAAGTTTCTCCTCACACGTCTTGCTTGTGGAACGCGTCTTGCATTATCACCTTGCTTGGGATGAAATGATTTTTAACAAAAAAAAAAAAAAGGTAAATTTACTAAAGCTTAATGCACTGTAACAGTTTTTGTTGCTATTAATAATATAGTTGCGCCGTAGACTATTTCTCAAATCAAATAAGCTTTAGATTAAAGCATATTACTAGATTGGCAATTAGGTCCTATCCTTTTAATGTTGAATTAGATAGATGTAACTGTAATTATTTTTTAAATAAATTCACCCCAGGCAAGGTGATAATGCCACTAAGATGCAAGGGGCTATTGGGAGTGAAAGAGAATGAAAAGACTTTAGAAGGAACAGGAAACAATCCTAAACAAGAAAGAAGGGATGAACCTCTACTGATGTTTGAAAGATTGGGGAGGAGTGTGAACCAGAAGATAGGTAAACTTATCTACACCTATTGTGAAAAAAGAATGGTAAATTAAAATTTCAGATTTTAGTTGGAGACATTTGAAGCATAGTGTGGAAGTAGATTTTAGAAGGAACTGCAAACCCAGTCCTAAATTAGGAAACAAGGGATAAACCTCTACTCTTGTTCAAATGACCAGAAAGGAGTGTGAATCTGGTGATGGGTGAACCTATCTACTCCTATTGAGAGAAAAACAAAATGGCAAATTAAAATTTCAAAATTTTTTATATTTTTTTAAGCATTTCACCCCAAGCATGCCAGGAAGCCACTAGCACGCAAGGGGTTACAGAGGATTTGGAGCAAGAGCAGATAGGAGTGATAGAAGAAAGGGTGAGGAGAAGAATAGTGGATAGATCAAGGCAACTGGAGATGTTGATTGACATTACATTTGAATAGTTGGAGATTATAGCTATCAGGGAAACAGGAAAAGGGAAGGGAGTTCCACAGGCGAGAGGTGTGAGATATGAAGCTATTGGAGTAAAAGAGACGGCTACATTTAACAGTTTCAACAGTGAAAGGGGTTTATGTGGAGATATTAGAAGTATAGAGATGAAGTAGATTTTAGAAGGAACTGGAAACCCATTCCTAAACAGGAAACAAGGGATAAACCTCTACTCCTGTTCAAAGACCTTACTATGCTTCCTAGTTCATATTCTGTTATTCATTTACACAGGTTCATTAGGTCAGTGACTTGGTGTTTCTCTTTGCCCTTCAGTTTGTTTTGTGAATGTCAAATTTTCTCATCTCTCTTTCCTCATTATGTGTACCAGAAATTTCAAGAATCTCTTTCTGGTTCTAAGTACAAGTGTCCTTTTTGTTTCTATTTTATTTAAAACTTTATCATTACTTACATGGTTTGTCCATGGCATTCTCAGAGTCTCTTAGTAGGATCATACATCTGTTGCTGCAACTCTCCTCTTCATTGGTAAGGAAATTGTTCGGTATTCATTGCCATATAGGAGGACTGATCTTACTTATTATAAAATCCAGATTGTGTGTGTGTGTGTGTCTGTATGCGTTTATATATTGGATCGGATTTCCTACATTTTTCAAACCGATTTCAACAAAAACTTCACAGGACTCATAAAATTACCTTCTGCGGTGGTTCTGATAGTGCCAAAATTGGAAAAAACACAATTGTTTTTGCACAAAATCAATTTGAAAATACGATAAAACACGATCCTGTCGACAGAATGAAAGGGGGACAACTCATATCGAGTTATACTTATATAACCCAGGTTGTTTGTGTGTGTGTGTGTGTGTTTATATATGGGATCGGATTTCCTACATTTTTCAACCGATTTCAACAAAACTTCACTTTTTTTTTTGGCAGGTAGTGTTTCTTATTGTCCTGCACACTTTTTCTTTATTTTTACATTCAGAATGCTTTAAAAATTCCATTTACAAGACAATTGTTTATAATAAAATTCTATTCAATCGGTAGACTCATATAACGATTGAAAACAATCTTTTTGTTTGAGTTTGGGTTTGACCAATTCGTAAAAAAACAAAAACAAAAAAAACTAATTAAGACATGCGTGTCCGTCAACCTTAAACAATAATCTTTGTCAATTTTATTTTTCAGTCTTTATGATGGTCGATACTTGATCTATCTCTTACTGTTACATCCCCGGGCAACGCCGGGCTCTACTTCTAGTATTATATAAAAGTTCAGATTGCAATAAAAAGAAACAATTAAAAATAAGGTGAAAAATAAGTAAAAAATGGTTGATAATGGTTCATCCTAATACAACATAATAATACAGCATAAAGTCTTTTTATTACTAAAAAAAAAATATATTTATTTTGGAATTTTCAGGCAATGCTCGGTGATCTTGCTAGTTAGTAGACAATGAAGAATTAAAACCCTGGTACTGTACTTCTTTAGTAATCCAGATACCTTGGGACAGGGGTTGAGAAAAATGTTTGGATAATTCAAAAGCATGAATAATTACCTGAAATATCGAAAGAATAATGAAGTAAAAAAGCAATTTTTTAAAATGAATTTTTATCGTGAAATAACATTTTCAGAAACATTTTTCAGAGTTTTGTTCAGGTTATTGTTGATAGAAAAAAAAAAATGCATCAATTTTTGTCTTTTTCCAGTTGCCATTGTATTTCTTGGTTACTAACTCCTGAGACTGGATTAAATTGGATGTATTTGTAAGGGCAGATTCTGATTTCAAGCACAATCGTTGCTTTGGTGTTTGAAATGGCACTGTTGAACTTCAATAATGAACATGGGCAATATTATCCTCCTCCCCCTTCTCTTCCTCCTCCTCTTCAATATTTTCCAGAGCAGTTATAAATTCAACAATACCCTGCTCACTTAGGTATTCATATCCATCTGTGAGTTGTGGAAACCTGTAAGTAATCTGGGATTACAAAAGAAATATTTGTCGCAGATTACTCCCAAAACACAGAGAAAAAAACTCTTAAGTTCAGACTCGAATATCGGGGTCAGAAAGAAATGCCGAAATCTCGATTCGCAGGTACTATCTCACAAATCCCAATGCATGCAACCAATCAGAAAAATAACTCAAAGAAACGTGGTAGCCAAAATACCCGAATTGTCTTGCCAACTTTTATCGGCTTAGCATTTTTTCCATTCATCAACAGCTGGGAGAGGATGTTCAATTTTTGCATATTAAAATACTTTTATAGCAACTACTGAGACGGACTGGTTTTTTTAATTTAAATATTCCAACTTCAGCATGTCATGCGGAATACATTCCTTTTTTTTTTGGTAAGTAATTTTCTTTTTCACCACATTTTCCATCATAGGATACATGCGACGCACTGTCGTTTGGTTTGATGAGGTAAGTCGCCATTTTCTTCACTCTAAAACCATAATCTCTAACATGACTAAGCTGTGAGAATTCAAATGTATATTTTTTTATATGGAAACAACAAATGATTTCAATTGATCTCTTCATTTTGTGTTTGGATAACTGAAGTCTGGATCATCAAGTAAGCACTCGATTTGGATTTTTAAAACTTTTTAAAAAATGTCTTTTATGTTTTTCAGGCTGCAGTTTCCATTTACAGTCTTCCTGAATGCATTGGGCCCCCTCGGACGAAACTATTACTTTCGAGTATTGTTTTATTTCATGTAAGTTTCCAAAGAGTCTGTTTTTTGTTTTTTATTATCTCTGAACTTCTTAACATCCCATAAAGTATTTTTCTTATAATACATTACAGACCATACGGTTGTGAAGAAAGCTGATGAAAATGTCAGCCTTATAATACATTACAGACCATACGGTTGTGAAGAAAGCTGATGAAAATGTCAGCCTTATAATACATTACAGACCATACGGTTGTGAAGAAAGCTGAAGAAAGCTGATGAAAATGTCAGCCTTATAATACATTACAGACCATACGGTTGTGAAGAAAGCTGATGAAAATGTCAGCCTTATAATACATTACAGACCATACGGTTGTGAAGAAAGCTGATGAAAATGTCAGCCTTATAATACATTACAGACCATACGGTTGTGAAGAAAGCTGATGAAAATGTCAGCCTTATAATACATTACAGACCATACGGTTGTGAAGAAAGCTGATGAAAATGTCAGCCTTTCACAAACGTAAGAATAACTACAAATTCTTTTAAAAGAATTTTCTAAAACTTTCAGGAAATAAAGTCCTATGTCATGGCTGTATACTATTGAATAAATATAAGATTGCTATCATTATTATCCATGTTACAGGTATTTTTATATGAGAAAACATCTGTGATCTATTAACATAGCCATAAAGTCTTGAAAAATGCCAACTTAAGCTCAAATAAAAATTAATAGTATCAATTATACATCAAGTGAAATATGCAGAGAATATTTATCAAAATATATTACTTTACTATTACTAATAGAGGCTATTATATATCAGGTGAAATAAGCAAACAATATACAGGGTGAGATGGATAAATTGTCTAAATTATGTGAAAATGAAAATTTTAACAGATATTTACCAAAATTACACAAAAATATCTTGAAATACTAAAGATAATAAAATCGCCATTGGCTTCAACCACCACCTCGTAATGACTTCAGAATCTCCTCCAACTTTTCTGGACATTTTCTTTGTTTAAGTTGGTGAATGCTGCCATAATCCTTGCCTTTATTTCATCTTTGGTATTAGAAGGAATTTTGTTGGTCTCTTGTTCAACTGTGCCCAACACATAATGATCATGGGGCTTGTAGTCTGGGGAGTTAGGTGTAAGAGGTGATCTGGTTATGACCAGATTATCTGATAGTTATGACTGGATTCTCCTGATTGTGTAGAGTCCTGTTGCCAGACTTAGGGTCTTCCAGCAGCCACCCTTTTGACTCAGGCCAGTACTACTTTCTTAAAGCACTTGATGTGGTCCTTGAGAAGATTAATTGAGGCATAACGTCATCAACACTAGAGATCACTCCAAACACCTTCGTAATCATCATTAGACTCATCCAACTCTTTCTGAGTCTTCTGCACTGTCCTCAGTGTGACACACAAACACTCTGAAATGTTCATATTGGAGGTTCCAGCATGAACACCAAGCAATACAACATGCCATTGCCAAATTCCTAGTGGAGTGAATTGCGTCATGGTGCTCTTTTTCTTACAGACGGTGCCCAACTGACCTTACTATACTGTGCAGTTGACAAAATCAAAAACAAACAGCATATATGCATGAAATTAAAAATATAAAATGGCGAGAATTTATCCATTGCATCCTGTATATCAAAATGTAGTCTTTACTATTACTAATAACGTCAGTTATGCATCAGGTGAAATATAGAAACAATATACACTAAAATCCAGTGCTTTACTATTACTAATAGTGTCAATTCTAGATCAGGAGAAATATGCAGACAGTATGTATTAAAATTCAGTACATTACTATTCTGAAAATTGAATAAGTAAAAGGTTAGTCATGTTTACTGACGTCTGTTGCTATTATGGAAGTTATTGATATTGCCAGTGTGCACAGCCAGCCATTACAAGTTGTAGATTTCAAGTGCTTTGAGTTGATTGCTTGATGGGTGTTATTGAAATACTGTGCTACCTAATTGCAGGTGCATTCTATCAGTGTGTGAAACTAGTGGGCAGATTTTGGCACCTCTGGACTTTGAAAAGTTAAAGTCTCTTATGGACATAATTAAGGTTATTCAAACTTTGCCAAAGAAGATGCAGTCAAATTGAATGGAATTAGAAAGAAATTTCGATTAAATAATCCACAAATATGAGTATGCCTTCCTGTTAATATGTGTAGATAATATGTGCAGACACGGGCTCTGTCACATGTTAGATACCTCAGTATTTCTATATTTTTCATTAGTATATTAGATACCTCTGAATCAATTTCTAAAGAAGTGCTGGATTGTTATTAGTCTGACAGATTTTATTGCTTAAACCTTATTTTTAGTGGATGTCCATATTTGCATAGACGCTCTGTTTTAGTGGATGTCCATATTTGCATAGACGCTCTGTTTTAGTGGATGTCCATATTTGCATAGACGCTCTGTTTTAGTGGATGTCCATATTTGCATAGACGCTCTGTTTTAGTGGATGTCCATATTTGCATAGACGCTCTGTTTTAGTGGATGTCCATATTTGCATAGACGCTCTGTTTATTTATTAAACAGTATAGTTATAAATACTTATTTTTACCAACCTCATTTCACTTTAGTATATTAGATACCTCTGTATTTTAATTTCTCATTAGGACATTAGATACCTTGGTATCTCTCTATTAATTATTATCACATTAGATACCTCTATTTCTTATTAGCTAGATTAGATAACACAGTATCCTTATATTATTTATTAACATATTAGATAGCTCAATAACACTGTAGTTTTCATTCACATAATGGATACCTCAGTATCTTACAATGACTTTTGACCAGCACATTGTGAACCATTCCAGTTTCACTCACAAGGCTTTGGTTTACATGTTGTATGGTTTTCAGGTACTTACCAACATTGTTGCATGATGTATCATCTCCCCAGGTGGATTTTTATCAAGAAATCACCTCCCTAGCAAAACAATTATGTTCAGATTTGAATCTTAGTCTCATGGTGAGAATGCTAATGTCTGGGTCACTTGCCCATTCACATGTCATTCTCAAAAGTAAATGGGCAGTTTCATGTTGAAGCACAAAAAAAGAAATTTGTGCTGAATCAGCAACAAATAATATATTTAAAACTGTGCCTATCATGGATAAAAAGACCTGAAAAGTTGAAAGGAAAAAAGGGCTGAAAAGTTGAAAGAAAAAAATGGACTGAAAAGTTGAAAGTAAAAAAAATGAACTGAAAAGTTGAAAGTAAAAAAAATGGACTGAAAAGTTGAAAGTAAAAAAATGGACTGAAAATTTGAAAATAAAAAAAATGGAATGAAAATTTGATAATAAAACAAATGACTTAAAACTTGAAAATAAAAAAATGAACTGAAAAGTTGAAAGAAAAAATGGACTGAAAAGTTGAAAATAAAAAAAAAATGGACTGAAAATAAAAAAATGGATTGAAAACTTGAAAGAAAAATCAACGATATCCTGCTAAACAACTTCATAGTTTCAAGCAGTTACACATATAATCAGAGTTAAGGGTTGCTTTCTTTAACAGTTGCAAGAAACATATTACAGCCTCTCCCCCATCAATATCCAATTTAATAATATAGTATTATGAAATCAGGTTAAGTGCCAATGCTGTTTGTTTATGGCACCTGTGTAAATAGTAGCATTTCAATACCTCATATCTTGTTCACACTAATTTCATATTTCTCATTATGAGGTCCCTCAGTATCTTTATATTTACTTTATGGAACAGACTCCTGAGAGGATGCTTCCCTGATCACTACAATCTTAACCACTTCAAGTTGAGGTTCAACCATTATCTATCCTACATATCCACATAATATTTGCATGCACTTCTTTCTTCCTCCTCTTTTACTTTTATAACAACCTTATTCAGTAACACTCTACCTTAAGTGGATCTTGAGCTTTGTATAGGCTTTGTATAACAAAAAATTCTCATTAGATACCTTAAATTAGATACCTTAGTATCTCTATATTTCTTATTAACGTATTAGATACCTCAGTATCTATATTTCTCATTAGCATATTAGATACCTCAGTATCTCTATATTTCTCATGAGCCTAATGGATCCCTCAGTATCTCTATTTCTCATAAGCATACCTCAGTATCACTATATTTCTCATTGGCATATTAGATACCTCAGTATTTCTATATTTCTCATTAGCATATTAGATACCCCGGTATCTATATATTTCTCATTGGCATAATGGATACTTTGGTATCTTTAGATTACTATTAACATACTAGATACATCAGTATATTTATATTTTCATTAGCATAATAAATACCTCAATATCTTTATAGTTTTCAGTAGTATATTAAAGACCTCAGTATCGCTATTTTTTTCATTACCATATTAGATACCCCAGTATCTCTGTTTCTCATTAGCATATTAAATACCTCAGTATTGTATTTCTCATTAACATATTCGTCCCTCAGTTTTTTCATATAATATGCAAGAGATATTTTTTTCTGAAACATATTTTTTTCTTTTTAGGGAAAATTGAGTCGGTTGTGATTGCTACCAAAAATTTCTTTTTGTGTTTTTCTTTTTCAGGCTCTGTGTCCCTTGTGTCTTCCTACTTCCTACACTTTTGGGCGGAATATGTCTGTTCATATCCAGCATCCTCTACTTTGTGGTGAGTATTAAAAACAGAAATTCTGGACAAGATCTGGGGCAAGGCATGAATCCATTTATCCCTTCCTACACCAGTTAGAGGTAAAAAAAAAAAACAAAGGTAGATGGCCTCCTTAGCTTTAATTGGCAGTCTACTAGAAAAACAACTCTGAATTGAAACCAATAAAAGATATGCAATGTGATAGGTCCTGACCTGGCATCTCGACTCCAGTCTCTTTCTCACAGACATGATGTGGCTTCCCTCCGTCTTTTCTACAAATATTTTCATGGCAACTGCTCTGACAAGCTATTTTCACTTGTACGACTTATTTTAGTAATTCAGCATTTAAAACTTTTACAAACACGCATTATTCATGACAGGAGGTGAATGCGAATTCATTGGAACAGATAAAGAGAGAGAGAAAAGATGTGTATACATATAGATTTCGTTCAAGAAAATGTCCTGATGTGAGAATGACACGGGTAGATTATATCAAGAATTGTTGCTATCAAATTTAATTGAATGAAGCTTCATAACAAACTCAAATATTTGTCTGTTTTTCTTTCTTTCTTTCAGTAGTGAAGGCAACCATAGTTGTCTCCCCCTTGTACTACTCAATTATAAAAGAAATGGTTGAACCTCACTTATGGACAGTAGTCAAATTGCATTGAATGAAGCTTCACAATTTCAAATATTTGCCTCTTTTTCTTTTCAGAACCTAACATCTGTTTCATTTCTCCTTTTTTATTTAGGAGAATTAAAATATAATTTTTTATTGATTTTTATATAGATTTAAAGTTAGAGTAAGCATAAAAATTATCCATAAAAAAAATTATCTGTTGATAAATTGTTTTGTGATCTGTTTGGTGTTTTCAGGCAGCACTGAGAGGTGAATGTTGGAAAGCTGACTTGCCACAAAATGAAGAAGCCACAGGAAATGAAGGGATAACTGCACCAACAATGCCTCCACCCAGGAAGCCGCGTGTCTTTACAACACAGAAGAGTGCTGCAGTACTTTAAGCAACAGGAAGGACACAATTCCAGCAAACAAGCGACTGGAAATAAGAAACTGGGAAGTGACAAGCAAACAATGCAGAAACTCTCAAATTTGGGGGCAATAAGATGAGGTGGGTAGTAAAAAGTGGGGCTGTAAAAAGAAAAAAGACCAAGATACAGCAATTAAAATGAAATGGTTCCACTTTCCAAACTTTCTTTTTTTTTTTTTTTTTTACTAGTCTTTGCCGACTATTTTCAATTTTTAATCAACCAGGATTCTGACCAATTATATCAAAAGGTGCTTAGAAAATTCTCCCTGTTAACATTGTAATGTTTACCAACCTTCCCATCTAAGGTCTGTATCGTGTTTCAAAGATCAAACAGGGAGAAGAATAATGACACTCAACACAGCAAGCCTGTCTCCTTCATTTCCTTTCACTCACTTTTCTTTTCATTTTTCTCTTTCTTACTTACTCACTACCTTTTCTCTTTTGCACCTTCTTTCCTCATCCCTCCTCTCACTTGGATTTCCAAATTCTTTGAGAAATGAACAGACAGTTAATAGCACTCTCTCTCTCTCTCTCTCTCTCTCTCTCTCTCTCTATATATATATATATATATATATATATATATTGTTTGAAAATTAGCATGGCTAATTCCAAAGTGGGTATACAGCCAAAGAGAGCTCAATGTAAGAACAGAGCAAGCAAATAATATTGATGATGAAAATGGATACTTTAGAAATCCATGGTAATATTTTATTTAGCAAGATCAAATCAATCTCATCTCATCAGACCAAACAATTTCACATCAATGAATGAATTTTTAATTTATCTTGGAACAAGCGAAAAAAAAATGTTTTTTCAAGAATAAGAGGAGAAGATATAGATTTTAAAGTTTTCCCTTCCCCTATATTAAAAAATAAGAGAATAAAATAAGCAAACAAAAAGTTATGACCATTAATAAAGAACAACATTAAACTAAAACCAAAAAATCTGGGAAAGGCTAATTTCTAATGTACTCCATTTCACTTTTTCCACCAGTATTCCATATATAGTACACACTAAAGGTGTAGCGACACATAGTTTAAAGATTGGTTCAAGCATGAAACTGATAGTTACCATATAGTGTTGATTCCTATGCCCACACTGTTTATATCTATGAAAGCACCATTTATCCCATTGAGCTCTCTTCTCCTTTTTTCTTTGAATATACGCTCTTTAGCGCTAGAGGGCGTTCTCAGTGATGTTCTGGAAATGGATCATTGGGCAGTTTCTAAAATATAATATATATAAAATGCTAAATATAGTAAATTTTAAAGTATATATATATATATATATATATATATATATATATATATATATATATATATATATATGCCTGACGATTGCATCTAGCATGAAACAGACTGTTGCCTCTAAGTGTTGACTTCTATGTTCACTTTTATATTTATACACACTCTATCTCTGATATTCAACACTTTATCCCATAAATATAACATATCTTAAGACTATATTTCTTCATATATATATATATATATATATATATATATATATATATATATATAATAAATATAGATATTGCACATTGATACAATATAACAGCTATAAACTATATATTAATAAATATATGTATGTATGTATATTTACTAGCATTCTTTGAAATATATATATATAATTTTGTATTTGGGCATCAATCCCTCTTTTATACAAGTTTCATTAAAAACGGCTGACAAGGTACTACAGTTAAGCTTTTTTTATTCAGTTTTTCTTGTGTATTCTTTTCTGGACATAAAGCATGCCAAAAATGCTATGTAATATCCAATGTATATATATATATATATATATATATATATATACGCACACACTAAATCAAGAAAACTTCAAGTGACTTACCTGGGTGGTCGACTCAAGAGCCAGATCTCGTATTTCTGCTCTACTATAAATATAGAATATAAGTCTACCACATATATATATGGAATATAAATATGATATCTGATAATAAATTCAATAGATTTATCAAACATTTCGCCCTGATGAGCATTTTGATGAGTTCGACAAGTTAAATCACTTGAACTTTTCTTCGTTTATTGAAATATAATGAATTAAATCCTTCTTGAAAAATATTGAATAAGTGTTTAATTCAGTTTATTTAAAAAAATAAAAATGTCATACTAGTACAAAATTTCTGAAATTGTAAGTACAGGAGTACTAGAACTTTCTGGAAACTTCTAGAACTTGTTATAGCTCATTTGTAAGTGTATATGTTATTGCGATGCTATAAACTGTTAAATACATTAAAAATAGATATAAATACTATCCAGTTGCATCATTAGCAAATTGGAGATTTTTCACGTCAGTTTATTGAAAGTTTCGTTGGATATTCTGTGAAGTAAGTGTCATTTTTTTTTTTGTTTCTCATCGTCTTTTGTATCTTGTCATTATCGGCTAAATTCCGCATTTTGTTTACATTGTTTGAATTGTGTGCAGTGACGAGAGTACGCCAACGCCATGGCGGAGCCCGAATCTCCCAATGCCTCAGCCACTGACGTGACTCTTTCGGTATAGGCAAAGGATAGGTCCCCACAAAAAAAGCCAGAGTATTATAAAAAAAAAACAAAAAACAAACAAACTTAAGGACAAATTTGAATCATTCGTTAAAGGAAACGAGTTGTTACCGGTGCCGTCTCTGTTATATACGGTGAACACTCGTACTATTTCTTTATAATAAAGAAATAGTATTAATAAAGACTTTATTAATAACGGGTTCCAAACCTCGGAAATTAATTACAGAGACGTCATGGAGGAGGCTCTTAAAAGCTTTCAAATATCGGCGAAAATCTTAGCAAGAAGGGGTAAGGCAATGTGGGACATTTTGTTAGCTACAGAAGATGCAGCTAAAGCGCAGGCAGGTTGTATTCTGAATACTAATTCATTAAGGCTACAAACCGAATACTTGGGAACAAGAAAAGCGAAGATGACCCTAGATAGAGTTCCCCTACTCATATCGGAGGATGATCTAGGCTTTTTCTTTTCGAAGTTTGAGGACGTCTCGCCCATTAAAAGTAAGACAGGAATAGCGACAGGCGATTTTGAAATCGCAATTACCCTAAACAAAAAACAATTCATGGAAATACCTAACACATTAATGTGTAAAGGAAGACTTTTTTTTTATATCGTTGTAGAGGGGCGTCGACGCCCACATTTATTTTACCCTACCCATTCCGTTAGCGAATTAGCTTCTAGATTCTGTCTAATGACAGAATACAGCGGCAACTCTGATTTTTGTGGGATGGACGGGTCCTACTAACATATGCTATTTTCTGTTTTACATTTGTTATATATGTTGGCTATTGGGATTCCTACTCCTCTCTCATTTCATATCATCTTCAGATTTACACACACACACATAAATATATATATTATGAAATGGACAAAGTCCGGCAATTATTTTAAGACATTTTTATACATTCTTTTTATAGATATAAATATTTAAGTAAATGCTCTGTTTATAATAAACAGTATTCATAACATTTACCGGCCTGAATGTCCGAGAAATTTTCATAGAAAATATTCGTCCTCCGACAAGATTCGAACCTGTATCCTATACGGAACCGATTGAGCCACAGAGGATCGTTCGATTAGCAAGGTTGATTTTACTGCTTTTTAAACTACAATCTTCCATGAATCTCTCACGTACATTCATATTTGCTCAAAGCCTATCCAAATGTAAACAAATGACGACACTCATTATGAAATGGACAAAGTTCGGCAATTATTTTCAAAAGAATGTATAAACATAAAAACGTATTTATATATATATATATATATATATTGCGAACATTTGTACATAGGAAATTTGTACATGAGAAATTTTTAAATAATGAGGTTTATTTTCTAGGTTCCCTTTGTGTATGGGGTATTTTGGTATATGTAAGAGTAAAAGGCGAAGGATGTCTTCTTTTGGTATATGTGTTATTAGTAATGAATGAATGGGTCATGAATCGGATTAGCTTTGTATAGGATAGTTAATGATGACCAGCCTCACCCCACTCCCTACTTTTTGGGCCATGTGACACAATTATTGTATTTCACAATAATAAATATTTATATCATTAGCATGTTGAAAAATAAAGCTTCTCATTTTTTAAATTCATTTTTATATTATTATGAAGAGTATAACATGAATGTTTTAACAATTTGTAATAAATAATCGTTGTATGGACAGAGTACAGTAAGCTGTCAAAGAAACCCTTTTACTTTTAAAATGTCTATAAACATTTTCAGCAAGAGATCTTTTTTTCTGAGGTTCTTTTTGTCATTGTGATATGTCCATTTGAATTTCCTTCAGTGGACATAGCTGCAGAGAGTTGACCAGGGCAGGAAACATTGGAATGATTTCCTACTGCTTATATTAATTATAATAATAAAAATCAATTCAGCAACTTAGTATTTTTCCATTTGTTTAAATAATTCTGAACAGCTTTAAGAAAATCAAATTATTATGACTTTTTTTTAAAAATCAATTCATGTCAAGTAAGGCGATAACACCACTAAGATACAAGGGAGTACTGGGAGTCAAAGGAGAATGGAAAAGACTTTAGAAGGAACTGGAAACCTAATAATAGTATAAATTTCAGAGTTGAGGCGGACACATTAGAAGTATAGAGCTGAAGTAGAATTTAGAATGAACAGGAAAACCAATCCTAGACAGGAAATAAAGGGATAAACCTCTACTCCTGTTCAAAAGACCGGGGAGGAGTGTAAACCAAAAGATAGGAGAATCTATCTAATCCTATTGTGAAAAGAAAAAAAAAATAATAAAAATTTCAAAGTTTACGCGGAAAAGTAGAAAGGAGACAGGGAACAAGGGGTAAACCTCTATTGTTCAAAAGTCTGGGGAGAAGTGTGAAGCTATCTAATCCTATTTAGCTATTATATGGAATTTAGATAATTTTTAAAAAATCCTGTCTGTTCAACTAATTCGTAGTTATGGGAAATAGCAGACGACAACAATGCTTATTA